AACAGTAAGAGTGTTATATTCGGCTATGCCGAATCTTATATACCCACCATCAAACCTCGTTTGACTGGAATGAAACTTACTTATGTCGAATTTCATATATATACTCATATTTTTAGGCCAGTTATAAGCGTTAAAGTAATTTTCTGAAGGGGACCTTATATAGGTGGGTAGGGTCAATTATGGGTCGATCCTCATAAAATTTGGTAGACAGAATTTGGTTCGTATTAAATTTATTTGTGTCGAGCATTAATGAGCGTTGCTGTCATTTTCTGATGGGGACCTTATATGGGGGGTAGGGTCAATCATGGACCGATCCTCATAAAGTTTTTTAGATAGATTTTGACTCGTATGAAACTTACTTATGTCGAATTTCATCTACATACTAGTATTTTTAAGCCAGTAATAAGCATTAAAGTCATTTTCTGAAGGGGACCTTATATGGGGAGTAGGGTCAATTGTGGACCGATCGTCATAAAATTTTGCACAGTGATTTTGAATCATAAGAAACTTACTTATGTCGAATTTCATCGCTATATTCGTATTTTTAAACAAGTTATGACTGTTAAAGCTGCTTTTCGAGGGTCCACTTGTAAGGGGGCTATCCGAAAACGTGGACCGATATTGCCTATTTGTAATACCAAACAAACCTTACCCATAAGAAATATTTATGTGAAATTTCAAATCTCTAGCTCTTTCCATTCGGACTCTATCGTGCTTTCAACAGACAGACAGACGGACGGACGGACGGACGGACAGACGGACGGACGGACAGACGGACGGACAGACATGGCTAGATCGTCTTAGAATTTAATGAGGACCCAGAATATATATACTTTTGTGGGTCTATGACCAATATTTCGATGTGTTACAAACGGAATGACAAAATCAATATACCCCCATCTTTTTTGATGGTGGGTATAAAAATAAGTTCAAATCATTTCTTTCCCTAAAGAAGCAACGACTGGATAATTACTGTGACATTCGTTTTGATGTGCTGAATACTCCAGATATATCATTCAAACAAAATTGTTTGCAATATTTTTGGAATTTGTTTAGTTTTTAAATATAATAAATCATTATCGACATATGTATATATATATTATACATATGTATATATGTGTATGTATTAATTTGTGCGAAAAAAATATTTAGCATTATCAGTGGTCATTTTAAAAAAATTATTATATATATTTTTATATATATATATGAATTGGTCTTTGGACTAAAGTTCAAGCCGTTGTTTGCCATTCATAGACATTTCCAATTAAAATGTAAATATTTTAAAAGATCTTGATCAGCCTTGAAGTTAAATAAGATTCTTGTAAAACTGATGCAATTACAACAATGAATTTTTCTGTGAAATGTAAATGAAAAGTATAATTTTGAGTTTAATAACACAGGCCAACAAAATTAAAAAATAATTAATAATACATATTAATATGAACATCAGGGTAATATTTGAAAGAGGGCATTTAATAAAAGCTTAGGTATGCACCGTGCTCTTCCAAATTAAAACAAGTAAGAAAGTATAGTCGAGCGTGACCGACCATATGATACCCTACACCAGTTATGAATATTAAATGTGATCTATTTTTCATAATAAAGCATTTATCTGGAATATTACCTTGATTCCGATTTATTTAAGCAATTTATTGACGAAAAACAAAGTTTCTGAAAGAGGCTTTATATGGGGGGATAGGAGCAAATGTGAACCGATCCCGATAAAATGGGCTGGTTAGATTTATATTTATATAATAATTGTCTGTGATAAATTTCATTGCAATAACAGTGTTAATAAGTGAATTGCGGATATTCAAATCATTTTCCGAAGGGGGGCTTTGTATGGGGGCTATGGTCAAATGAAGTCCGATCATTTAGAAATTCGGCAAGGTCATCAAGGCTTGTATAAGACGTAGTTGTGCGAACTTTTATCGAGATACATTTATATTATACAGAATTATGAGCTCAAAAGCCCTTTTCGGGGGGTTCAGTTATATGGGGGCTAGGTGAAATAATGGACCGATTTTAACCATTTTCAATAGGCTTCATCTTTGGGATGCCATGTATGCCAAATTTCATCAAATTATCTTGAAAATTGCGACCTGTACTTTGATAAATCAACTCAGAAAGTGATTCTGAGTCGATCGGTATACTTAAAGGTGGGTATAGTACTAATATTTTAGTGCGTTACAAACATCAGCACAAACGCATAATACCCTTGCCACTATAGTGGTGTAGGGTATAAATATTATTATTTTTTTTTTGGTCCAATTGGACTATAAACTGTTTTTTTGTAAGAGTGCTTATATGGAGGGTAAAGTCAATTATGGACCTATCCTCATCGGCTTATACAATAATTAATTATATTGAATTTCATTGTAGTACCCGTATCTTTAATGTAGTCCGGAGGATTAAAGAAAATTTCTGTAGGAAACCGATAATGGGGGGGGGGGGGGGGTTGGATCAGTCATATACCGATCCTCATAAAATTCAGTTGAAAAATGTTCCTATAAAACTACCGTAATTTGGAAGAAGTATTTCGCTCAAAACTAGTTTATGTCGAATTTCATCACTGTACTCGCAGTTTTAAGATAGTAATGAGCGTTAAAACAATTTTCTGAAGAGGACCTTATATGAGAGGTAGGGTCAATTAAGGACCGATCCTTATAAATTTTGATAGAGAGCTTTTGGCTCACACAAAACATATTTATGTAGAAATTCACCGCTGAACTCGCATTTTTAAGTTAGTAATGAGCGTTAAAGTCATTTTCTAAAGGGGACCTTATATAAGGGTCCCCTTCATTTATGAAAATGATTATAGTTCCTATAATAGTTTTTTATATCGAATTTTATTGCTATATATGTTTTTTAATTTCAGATATGAGCATTAAAGTCATTTTCTGAAGGGCACCTTATATGGAGGGTAGGGTCAGTTATGGACCGATCTTTATAAAATTTTATGAAGATATTTAAGTTCCTATAAAATATGTTCCTTTCGAATTTCACTGCTATAGATGTTTCTTTTAGTCAGTTATGAGCGTTAAAATAATTTTCTGAAGGGGACTTTATATGGGGGGTTAGGGTCAATTATGGGCCTATCATTATAAAATTTAGCAGAGAGATTTAGGTTCCCATAAGATATAAATTTTACCGCTATAGATGATTCTTTCAGCCAGTTATGAGAGATAAAGTCATTTTCTCAAGTTGGCCTTATATGGGGGCTAGGCGAAATCGTGAACCGATATAGCCCATTTTCAATACCAAACATCAACTAAAAGTATCGGTGCAAAATTTGAGCTCGCTAGCCACTTTCATTTGGACTCTATCGTGTTTTCAACAGACAGACGGACGGACATGGCTAGATCGTCTTAGAATCTAATAAGGACCCAGAATATATCTGGTCAAAAAGATATTCTGATAGATCATTTCCGAAATATATTGTTTTAGCCCCATTGCAATGGGGTTTTTACAAGGACTACTTTAAGACAAGAGCCACTTTTACTTGGACTCTATCGTGTTTTCAACAGACAGACGGACGGACATGGCTAGATCGTCTCAGAATCTACTTAATAAGGACCCACAATATATATACTTTTATGGGCCATAAAGGAATATTTCAATATGTTACAAACGGAATGACATGAAAAAAATAAACAGAAACTAAATCTTCAAAAAGATATTCTGATAGATCATTTCCGAAATATATTGTTTCCATATTAGCCCCATTGCAATGGGGTTTTTACAAGGACTACTTTAAGACAAGAGCCACTTTCATTTGGACTCTATCGTGTTTTCAACAGACAGATGGACGGACGGACATGGCTAGATCTTCTTAGAATCTACTTAATAAGGACCCAGAATATTTATACTTTTATGGGTCTTAAAGCTATATTTCAATATGTTACAAACGGAATGACATAAAAAACATAAACAGAAACTAAATCTTCAAAAAGATATTCTAATAGATAATTTCCGAAATATATTGTTTCCTTATTAGCCCCATTGCAATGGGGTTTTTTACAAGGACTACTTTAACATTCGTATGAATATTTTCAAAAATGGGCTGACCATCAATAGTGGGCGTGGATCTCGCTTATCAACTAAAGACTAACTTTTTGTATATTTGGGAAACTATAATGGCAAAAGTCCTCACATTTTGTACGAATAATTTTACTGTCAGAATAAACATTTAGAACAGACGTGGGACCACCATGATTAGTGAGAGTGGTACCTCCCACATAAAAAAAAAAATCTGTGAAACTATAAAAAGTGTGTGACCTAACTATCCATTGAACTATTTATTAACAAAACGGACAGACCAACAAATAGTGGACATGGCCTTTCAAAATATTTTCAGAAGTATAACATAAACATAGTTACTGTATTATCACCAAATGCCACGCCCATTTAACATTTTGCGCATTTTTTTGTATAAACCCTTATATTGAAGAAATATTTTAAAAAATTCAAAGTTTCATGACTTTTTTCCATCTACATTGAGCACTCAGACCACTGTGCATTGTGCAGTTTAGATTACTGTTATTCTTTTTTCCGATGACATGTTGCCAACCACGCCTATTTAATTTGATTTTTTTATAACAAACGTGTAAAAATTTTGTGTAAATAGCTAGAAAAGAATTTCTATTTAAAATATTTTATTTGCATTTGTTTAGAAAAATTAATTAAATAAATCTATTTGTAACTTTAATTAATATAATGCATTAATTAAGATTCTATTTTCAGAACATTAAATAAAAGGAAAATTTATAAAACTTGTTTGCAATAGTTTTATGCTTGATGAATTTTTAATAAAAAAAAAAAACTAAAGAAAATTGAGATCATCTTTAATAGGGGTATTCACTTGTAATAGAAACTGTAATAAAAAGTTTAAAATTTGTAATTTTAATTCAAATAGCCATGTCTGTCCTTCCTTATATTGGAAACGAACAAAATCGGTCTTCATTTGATCGTAGCCTCCAAATTGGAGAGCCTAGCAATGGCGAACACCCCTATTAAACTGAACTTGTTATCTCTATTGTATTACGTTTTGTAATTTACATGAGATCTGGTTGTTATTGATTATATACGATTTATATTTATGTAGTTTAAGTTAGTTTAAGGCAGTTTAATAATGAACTAACTTAACTTTTCTCTTTTGTTTTCATAGAGTCAATATTTGGCATCAGACATTTACAATGTTTTCTTTTATTCTGCGGCTTATCGGTGGCTTATGCGCTGAGAGTAAATTTATCGGTGGCTATAGTGGCAATGACTGATAAAAAGGCCGCTAATCCAGATTTTGATGTAAGTTTTAAATATTTTATTTTTAATAAACGTGCTCTTTAAACATTTGTTTTTTTTATTTACAGGAATTTGACTGGACCGAGAAGAATAAATCCTTACTTTTAAGTAGTTTTTTCTGGGGCTATGTCATAACACAAGTACCAGCCGGCCAATTGGCTCGTAAATTTGGCGGCAAAATCATGTTATTGACTGGAGTATTTGTCTGCTCACTGCTAACTGTCTTGACACCTATTTGTGCTAGACTAGGGGACTGGCAATTGGTGTGCGCTTTAAGAGTTATACAGGGTTTAAGTCAAGGTTTCTTATTTCCCTCCACGCATACGATTCTCTCTAAATGGTCTCCAGTAGAAGAGAGAGGCACCTTGACCACCTACTGCTATTCGGGTACACAATTCGGTACGGTTGTTATGTTGGCTTCTAGTGGTGTTATGGCTTCTTCATCCATGGGCTGGCCTAGTATATTCTATATATCCGGTGGTGTGGGTTTGGTATGGTCTGCGGCCTGGTTTTTCTGGGGTGCTAGTTCTCCCAGTGAATACAAAAATATTTCCGCTGAAGAAAAGAAACTTATTGAAACTTCATTGGGTGGTAAAAATGAGGAGGATGAGAATAAACCTATGCCCAAGGCTCCTTGGTTTAAATTCTTTACCTCGCTGCCATTTATGGTTCTTACTTTGACTCACTGTACCCACAATTGGGGCTTTTGGACTCTGTTAACGGAAATTCCCTCGTATATGAAAAATATTTTAAATATGGATATTAAAAGTAATGCCTTACTCTCTGCCTTACCCTATACCGCCATGTTTCTCTTGAGTTTTGTATTCTCTGCCATACAAGCTATGCTGAGTAAACGTAAATGTATACCTTTGTCGGTTAGTCGTAAGCTATTCAATTCTATAGGCCATTGGATACCCATGATCTCATTAATCGGTCTGGGTTATGTAACAGCAGATCAAACGAATTTAGCCATTATTTTACTTACCATTACGGTGGGCATAAATGGTGCCACCTATTTGGGTTTCCAGGTTAATCATATAGATTTATCACCCAACTTTGCGGGCATACTTATGGGTATTACCAATTGTGCTGCTAATATCATGAGTATTATTGCTCCTCTTATAGTCGGTTTCATAGTAACCAATGAGGTAAGTTTAACCTAATCACTTAAATCTCTAATCTTTCTTTTAATTTTTTTCCTATTTTTCGCCCTTTTGCAGAAAGATCCCGATCAATGGCGTATTATTTTCTTTATCGCCGCCGGTTTCTATTTCATTGGTAATCTATGCTTTATCTTATTTGGCAAAACGGAAGTACAATCTTGGAATGATCCCGAAAATGAACAACTGATGAAAAAACGTAACTCTACTTTTGTAGAGTCTCAGCATTAGTTTAAATTAATTTGTTTTTAGTGTGTTTAATATAAGTTTTAACTAATTAGTTACTATTTTAATACTTAAATCAGGTTCGTTATTTTTAAATGTTTGTCTTTAATTTTAAAGTTTTGTTTTATTTCCTTTGTTAATGTTTAAATTTAATTGACATTTTTTTTATATATATGTTGATATTGTTGTGCCTGAATTTTGTAGTCGTAGTTTTGTAAAAATATTTAACAAATTTTTTTTTTTGTTTAAGTTTAAATAGTTATAATTTTATGTATTTAATAAAAGAAATTTAATAAGTTCGAGTTAAATTTTTTTAATAATAATAATTTTCAAGAAGCATTAAGTAGAAAAAGAAAATAACGAACAATATAAGTACTTTTTATAACCGCCATCGAAATTTTACATATAGATCCACTAACATATAGTGTATACCCTAGATACGTATTAGATTCTAAGACGATGTAGGCATGTCTCTCCGTCTGTCTGTTGAAAGCTTGAAAAGGGCCATACGTAAGGACATAGAGGGCTCCTTCCTTCTTTGATATTGAAAATGTGAAAAGTGACCCCTGAAATACTGCTTAAATGCTCTTCAATATGTTAATCATATAATCGTTATATTGTAAGGTCCATCTTTCAAAAAAGTTTGATATTTATATGCTATTCGACAAGTAATAACACTATGCGACAAAAATAAATACCTAGGAAGTGATACTATTTAATAAAAGGCGAAACGGAAGCGGCCATTGTTGGCCCCAATTTCCAAAAGACCATCCCCCTTGTACACTATCCGTCAGTTTTTCAAGTAGAAATATATGCCATCTATATTTGTGCTAGGGAGAGCGTTAGGAGAAGAACCAAGGGATTAAGAATTTTTATAATGTCGTATAGCCAAGCATCACTCAATGCCTTATTGTCATACGAGGTAAGGTCGGGTGTCGAAATGGACTGCTTGACTTCACTCAATAAGTTAGGTAAACACAACAAACTGACTTAGTGTTGGGTACCTGGCCATGAGGGTCACTCTGGCAATGAAATAGCAGACTGCCTAGTAAATAGGAGTACTCGTCGCCAACTAAGCGGCCCTGAGTCCTTCTTGGGCATTCCCCGAGGATATGTTAAACTAAAGGCGACTCTTGGGTGAAATCTGAATTTATTCGCCATTGAGAAGCAATACCAGGGCTCAGACAGACAAAACGTTTCATTACACTATCAAAGGTAAAATCCCAAAATAAAAGCAATCTCAGAGTACTAACGGGATTACTTACTGGACACTGTGGTCTCAGATACCATCAATTAATTCTAGGCAACTCTTCAACAAATCTATGCAGATTCTGTGGCCTACCAAAGGAAACCTCAGAACATATCTTATGTAAGTTCCCTACATTAGGCTAATATGTTGCACAGTAGTTTAGAAACTTTTATTTTTGAAAGTAATTAGGTATCTCTGAAACTATTGGATATATCGCAATGAAATTTCACATGTTTGGAGCTGAGGTGTTTTCGAGTTGATTGACAGCTGTAGGTGGTCGAGGGCAAACAAAGTTTGACGCATCCAAAGTTGCAACATGTAAAAAGGGCCGTATTTTTTAGGTATTTCCCCCAAAAAGTCCCTATATTCTTACTTCAATAGAAACTAATTTTCTTCGGGACTTTATACAAGTTTTGCATTATCCGGAAAGAGAACTTAATGCAGATGCGTGTAAAATTTAATTTGGCATATTTAAGCGGACACTACCCCCACCAGCCCTAGCTAAACTTGGTCAGTTTTGAACCAGAATATTTTAATTTGAATACAAATTTAAAAAAACGCAAAGCACCGATCGTTACAACAAGCCCATATTTATATAGCCATATATGTTCCTTAAATATATCCAAAGTATTTCTACCATTACATGTTAAATAACGTCACAGTGGGCACTTTTATCAAAAAACAATGTTTTTGGAACACAGTTTTTCCGCTTTAGGAATTTTGGTATCTGTATATAGAAAATGATATAACTGGTAAAGGTATTATTTTGGAAAGACTTGGTTCTATACATGTGCAAAATTTTGTTCCGATATCTTTATCCGTTCAAAATTTACATTAATTCATATTATATACTTGTAATTTAAAAAAAAAAAATATATTATGATTTTTGAACTTTTTTCGTAAATGCTGTTCTAACAAAAGATCCGTTATCTTCTATATATTACATATATAAAAGAGTAGCGTTACTGACTGACAGTAAAACAGGTTTTCTTAATTATATTACCTAATATTAGTCATGCAAGAAAAATTTTAAATGCACCTGTATCTACTCTTAAAATAAGCAGATGGTCTGGTACTTTTTTGAAATTCGTACTTTTAAGGGGTGAAAAGGTGATTTTGGTACCTTTTTTGGCCCTTTATAACTTTTTAACTAACAAAAAAAATAACATTTTTGTAAATATTTTAAATATATCTCCCAAAATTAGGAGATACATGTTTCGTACTTTTTTCAAATTCAGCCCTATTTGGGTGTAAAAGGGAGAAAACTGTATTTTTGTTACTTTTTTTTTAGCACATTAAAAAAACTTTTTTTTTTAATGTACTGAAACAAAATGTTTGCTATTTCACTGGGGAAAATAGTACCAAAAAGAGGAAAAACGGGAAATTTCATTTTATTCAAACTCATTGAGCCAATTTTTATAAAATTTGAAAAAGTAGTTTATTTACTCTCACAAAATGAGCTATTGGTATATTATTTTGGAATTCGAGTACTAAGGCTTATATAGGACCAAATTCGAGTAAATAGTTTGGTACCTTTTTGAAAGCACTATTTTTCTGGAACAAATAAATGCAGATTTGAATCGTTTGAGTTTTATCTGTGATATAGAGATTTAAATACGGAAAATTTTGAAACTTAATTCTCAAAAAAGTATATTTCTAAGCGAAAAGGGGAAAAATTGTACTATTTTTATTAGTACACACCACTAAGGTAGAATTTATTCCACTTTTGGTACTTTTTCTTTCTTCAAATGATACTCTGTATGTTTTATAATATGAATTCAAAACACATGATTATTAAACATACACGGTCCTCATTGAATAAGATTCTTTAAGAGAGAACTTTTTAGTACTTTTTATCTCATAAATGGCACTTTTTGAATATTCTAAAATATTCAACCTAGGAACATAAATTTTAACATACATGGTCTTGATTGAATAATATTCTGTAAGTGCGTACTCTTTGGTACTTTTCCATTCTTCAAATGGTACCTTTTGGTTTCTCTATAATGGTTAACTGGAACACATTCTTATTAAATGAGAATTTATTGAGAGAGATTTTTGTACTTTTTCTTTTTTCCGATGGTATTTTTTGATATTTTTACGATATTGAATATAGAAATATAAAATTTAAAATATAGGGACCTTAGTGCATGAGAATCCACTGAAAGGGACTTTTGGTACTTTTTCATTTATCAAATTATATATTTTGAATTGTCTATAATATTGAACACAGAAACATAAAATTTTTTATTAAATAAGAGGTATTTTATAGAACTTTTTTTCAAATAGTAATTTCGAAACTAAAAATACAAGCTTCTTCCTGAATGCGAATTTATTCACGTGATATTGAACGTAAAAAACTGAAACATTAAAAAATTTTTAAATCAATTTTAATTTTCTATAAAAGTAAACAAAATTTTGTATGTATTCAATTTTAATTAGGGTAGCGAAGCACTCAGGGTATGCTAGTTTAATATAATCTAATTTGAATCAACATACGTTGCGTATGAGTAATATTGTAGTATGTGTTTTCCAACATGGGTCCAATAGTGATCGAAGTGATCAAAATCTCTATACGATTTAATAGGGGATTTCGATCGCTTACAAATATCGCTATTTGCTCTCAGATAACATAATCGCAAAATAATTTATTTGATGACATTTATACTTTACATATAATAATTATAACTTTTTTTACTTCTAACAATTCAGACTAAACAAATAATTCAGAATTAACAAATGCAACTTTCAAGTCTTAATAAAAACAAATAAAATACTGAAAAATATATTTCTAGGAAATTATTGCCTTTCCTTCTCCTCTCCATTAACTAGCTTATGAGGCTGCATAAGTTGCATTTCGGCTGGTTCCGGTAAAGGATCATTCCAGGGCTGAATCTTAGTTTTACCCAAAGTAACAAACAATAAATTCGCTATACCATAAAAACCACCGGCTATGATAAATACCAGACGCCATTCAAAAATATTTGTCTGAAATTTTAAAGAGTAAAAGTAAAAAATTTCAGATAAACTTTCATATGTTTAAAACTTACCTCATCTTGCACCAGTAAACCCTTAGCCAAGGGAGCTAAAATACTCATTACATTGGCCGCACAATTTGTAATGCCCATTAAGACACCAGCGAAATTTGGCGATAAATCTATATGATTAACTTGAAAGCCCAAAAATGAGGCAGCATTAAAGCCCACTGTTAGTATGATTAAAATAACAGCCAATAATATATTGCTGCTATCACAAAAAGCCAAAGTAATTAAGGCAATCATGGGTATACCCTGGCCTATGCTATTAAATAATTTACGACTATAGTTCGTGGATAACAGACGACGTTTGTTAATATAATTTGCTATAAAGCAGAAGAGAAAACTCAACATCAACATTATGGCATAGGGTAAAGATGAATATAGGGCATTGCTTTTAATATCCATGCCCAAAACATATTTCATATAGGAAGGCAGCTGTGTAAGTAAGGTCCAGAAACCCCAATTATGCGCACAATGATCGATCATCAAAACCAAAAAGGGTAAAGAAGTTAAGATTTTAGTCCAGGGTGTTTTCAAATTGCGCACAATTTCGTTATCGTTATTTTGATTGTTACCCAAGGAATTGTAAATCATAGTTTTCTCTTCCACTGTTATACCCTTGTAATCATCAGGTGTATTAGCACCCCATATATACCAAACAATACACCATACTATACCCAATACACCAGATAAATAAAATGTACCAGTCCAGCCTAAAGCAGAAGGCATAATCCAACCACTATTACCGAATATAAGAATGGCCCCAAAAAATGTACCCGCATAGGCAAAAGTACATAAAGTAGCTCTTTCATGCGCCGGAGACCATTTAGATAAAACAGTATGGGTACAGGGAAAGAGTACACCTTGAGCTAGACCTTTTAGAATGCGCACAATAACCAATAAAGGCCAATCACCTATTTCCACCAAGTATGGTGTGAGCAGACATAAAATTGCGCTAATTAAAATGGCATAGAAAAATAAAATTTTAGCTCCCCATTTACGGGCCCATGGTCCAGCCGGTACTTGAGTGCCGACATAGCCGCAGAAAAAACTGCTTAACAACAGAGATTTGACGCTTTCAGACCAGTCGAAAATCTGAAAAGAAATAAAAATTGGTGTTAATAAGATTTTGAAAATTTGAATGGAGTTTTGGGATTGGGTCCGATTTCATGGTATAGGTCAAGCATACAAAATTTTACTTGCGGTACTAGTCTAGTCTATAAAGTAGTCTATGGACTGGTCTATAAACTAGTCTATGGGCCGGTCTATAAACTAGTCTATGGACTGGTCTATAAAGTAGTGTACGGACTGGTCTATAAACTAGCTTATGAACCGGTCAATAAACTAGTTTATAGAATGGTCTATAAACTAGTCCATGGAGTGTTCTACAAACTAGTCTATGGACTGATCTATAAACTAGTCTGTTGACTGGTCTATAAACTAGTCTATGGACTGATCTATAAACTAGTCTATGGACTAGTCTATTGACTAGTCTATTGACCAGTCTATTGACTAGTCTATGGACTAGTCTATTGACTAGTCTATGGACTAGTCTATTGACTAGTCTATGGACTAGTCTATTGACTTGTCTAACTAGTCTATTGACTAGTCTATGGACTAGTCTATTGACTTGTCTAACTAGTCTATTGACTAGTCTAACTAGTCTATGGACTAGTTTATTGACTAGTCTATGGACTAGTCTATTGACTTGTCTAACTAGTCTATTGACTAGTCTAACTAGTCTATGGACTAGTTTATTGACTAGTCTATAGACCGGTCTATAAACTAGTCTATAAACAAATATATGGACTGGTCGATAAACTAGTCTATGACTATACTATAGTCTATTGACTGATCTATGAGCCAGTCCACTAGTCTATTGAATATCCTATGGACTAGTCTATTCACTATTCTATGTACTTGTCTACTCACTATCCTATGGCCTAGTCTTCTGACTATTTATGAAATAGTCTATTGAATATTCTATGGACTATTCTATTGACTAGTCTGTGGATTAGTCAATTGACTATTCTATGGACTATTATTATATATATTCTCACAGAAATATAACTTTTTCACTAAAAACTGAGTTTTTCATTGAAAACTCCCTTTTTCACCAAAAAGTAAATTTTCGACTAAAAACTCAGTTTTTTACGAAAAACTCAGTTTTGCAACAAAAACTCGCTTGTTCAGTATAAGAAGATTTAAACGGCAATGATATGTTGTGTTTTATTTGGCAAAATTTAACTGCAAAAATGGCTGTAAGTTCAAATCTTGAACGGGAAACCCTTTATTACAGCTTGTTGGTCCATATAGAAATTTAAAAATAGATGTTATAATTCTTAGTATGTACTAATTAGGTGATAATTACTATGTGAGACAAAACTGTAAAAAATTGCTTATTCACTTAAGTTAAATTAAACACTAATTAAATTTCTTCATGTTCAAGCATACATATTTTTTTTTTAATTTACAACAAAATTTTTATTACAAAATCAATATCATACATAACTCATTAACAAAATTTCTTTTACCTTTTTGATATTCTTACCTGTGCATATGGTTTTTCTTCCAATGGATCAGTCATGGCTATTATCGATACCGATAAATTTATTCTCATTGCATAACCCACTGCCAAACCCCAAAATAGCAGCAGACCTTGCAAATGTCTAATTCCCAGAAAATTTCGGGGTTTCATCTCTTCATAACTTGTAGGACGTATCATTTTTAAGGTTTTTAATATTTCATTGAAAAAATGTTACACTTTTAACGGAAGTTTTATTAAATTTATTTCTTTAACTTTTTTCTCACCTAAACATAACTTGTTTGGTTGTTGTTAAAAATCGCAATGAAATTATTGAAAAATAATTTTTAGAATATTTTTGAACATCTCCGTTTATAGATCAACTAAAAATTTATTGAATTTGTCAACATGTGAATTACGCTATAATTGAATTATTTTAAGCAAATATTTAGTACACTGTGTTACATATAATCATGTGTAATTGTATTTAGATCAAAGTCTAACTGTACAACTTCTTGAAAATAGACTAGACTATATACGAGGCTATAAACTAGACTGTAGACTAGTCTATAGACTAGACTGTAGACTTGACTGTAGACTAGACTGTAGACTAGACTGTAGACTAGACTATAGACCTAGACTATAGATTAGACTATAGACTAAACTATAGACTAGACTATGGACTAGACTATAGACTAGACTTTAGACTAAACTATAGACTAGACTATAGACTAGACTATAGACTAGACTATAGACTAGACTATAGACTAGACTATAGACTAGACTATAGACTAGACTATAGACTAGACTATAGACTAGACTATAGACTAGACTATAGACTAGACTATAGACTAGACTATAGACTAGACTATAGACTAGACTATAGACTAGACTATAGACTAGACTATAGACTAGACTATAGACTAGACTATAGACTAGACTATAGACTAGACTATAGACTAGACTATAGACTAGACTATAGACTAGACTATAGACTAGACTATAGACTAGACTATAGACTAGACTATAGACTAGACTATAGACTAGACTAGACTAGACTAGACTAGACTATAGACTAGACTATAGACTAGACTATAGACTAGACTATAGACTAGACTATAGACTAGACTATAGACTAGACTATAGACTAGACTATAGACTAGACTATAGACTAGACTATAGACTAGACTATAGACTAGACTATAGACTAGACTATAGACTAGACTATAGACTAGACTATAGACTAGACTATAGACTAGACTATAGACTAGACTATAGACTAGACTATAGACTAGACTATAGACTAGACTATAGACTAGACTACAAACTAGAGGATATAGTATATACTAGAATATAGACTACAGTATAGAGTAAACTATATACTAGACTATACATTACATTTAAAATTACAATATAAGATTTTTTAATTACTTTTTTTTTTTTGGTTTGTAGTTGAAATATATTTTGCTAGCCCTATACTATATATCTGTCCACGACTGTTACAGTAATGGTTTTTATTTCAAATGCCTTAAAGTATGCAAAACATAAGTAGTAAACTGAAATACAATTTTTACTAATTAAAGATATTTAACAGGGTGCTTTATAATACTGATGAACTAAATTTAAAAATTACCAAACGATTAACTCATGTTGTCACAGTGCAACTAACACTTGTTCCCCCAAACTGATGATAATGATATCAACTATTCGTAAAAAGGTGATTGGAAACAAATTGTTCCTTTACATACGATCATTCAAGTGATGAAAACAAGTGACTATCATAGGTAAGTATATTAGGGTTGCTCCAAAACAAAGCAACTATTAAAACTAAAATTTATTTCTTAGCAACCATTTTTTTAATATTTGTTCAGCCTTTAATATTTGGTGAGGTGGGTCAAAGGATAATTAGCTGCTTTTTGCAGGGGTTTGCAATTGTTTTCATATTTCTTATAAAGAAGTCATATGAAAATTTTGTATCTTAAGAGAGGTCCTTGAAATGGAACATATCTATGGAAGAAAAACTTAAACTAACTTCTTAGCTGAAATTATTTCATGACAACATAATTCAACATATCAACAAAAAAATTTTTAAAATAATGATAAGAAAATCATGCTAAAAATAAACAAGTAAGAAATTATAGTCGGGCGAAGCCGACCATATAATACCCTACACCTTTGACAAAAATATAATGTGATTTAGTTGCCATAATAAAGTACATATTTAAGTTGAATTGTACCTTGCCTTAAATATACATACTTAAGCCGTTTATTTTTGAATAAAATTGTGGACATTTAAGTGAAATTTTGATGGGGGCTTTTCATAGGGGCTAGGGTCATATGAGAACCTATTATTATGGAATTCGTGAGGGTCATCAAGTCTTGTATACAACTTGGTTTTTGCAGCTTTTTGTCGAGATATGAGTATATTAAACATAATTATGAACTTAAAAGCCATATTCGGCGGGTTCAGTTGTATGGGGGCTAGGTGAAATAATGGACCGATGTAAACCATTTTCAACAGGCTTCATCTACGGTACCATAAAAGATCATGTGCTGAATTTCATTGAATTATCTCCAAAATTGCGACCTGTAGTTTGATTACAAAGTTTAAAAGCCCTATTCGGGGGTTCAGTTGTATGAGGGCTAGGTGAAATAATGGACCGATGTTAAACATTTTCAACAGGCTTCGTTTACGATACCATAAAAGATCATGTGACAAATTTCATTGAATTATCTCCAAAATTGCGACCTGTAGTTTGATTACAAGGATTACAAGCCCTATTCGGGGGTTCAGTTGTATGGGGGCTAGGTGAAATAATGGACCGATATTAACCATTTTCAACAGGCTTCGTCCCTGGGACAATAGAAGATCATGTACCAAATTTCATTGAATTATCTTCAAAATTGCGACCTGTAGTTTGATTACAAGGTTTACATGGACGGACGGACGGACGGACATAGCTAAATCGATCAGAAAATGATTCTGTGCCGATTGGTATACTTTAAGGTGGGTATAGGACCAATATTATTGTGCGTTACAAACATCAGCACAAACCCAATATACCCTCCCCACTAAAGTGGTGTAGGGTATAAAAAAAATATTTATATACATATTTATTATATGCAGACATAAGTATAAAAAATGTCAAGCAAATAACAAAAAATTTATACAAATTAAAACAAAAACATTAGAAGAAACATAATTTTTTTTCTTATATAAGAAATAAACGACTTAAAAGCACCATACCAAAGCGGGATGGACAATATTTCCGAAATACTTTTTTACAACAAATACATTTATAACATTGCATTAAAAATCTTCACAAATTTAAATGAAAAGTAGCAATATGTCTGTACTTAACTGTTTACCCCAACATATACCATGGTCCCCTTATGTAATCAGTAACTTAGTTTATAAGTATAACAAAGTCATTTAATTTTAAAAATATCACTTATATCTTTTCAATTATTTCAATAGCTGCTGCATTTACCTACTACCAATACTCTTTCCATTTAACTGTAGGGTATCAAAGCTCGTGCGTACCCAATAAAAAAAAAAACAAAAATTATATATAATGTTCCACTAATCTATTCCTGTTCATATTTTTGTTTTGAATTTTTTGTTCTTTTTTTTCTCAAAATGATTCTGATATTTTTATACAATGAATTGGCAAACGTGAGAAGTTAAATAAATTTGTTAAACAAAAACAATTTTAATTATATAGTTGTTGTTCTTTTTTAATAATAACTTTTGTATGGAATTTTGTCAACTCATAATGTAAATGAGGTGTGTTTTTTTTCGTTAATCGACATGGAAAATATTGGAATCTAATCTGAAGGAACAAGTTAATCGCGTGTTAATCACGATTTTTGATTATAGCTAAACAAATGCCGAATTAGCAACAAATATTTTGCTACCGAAATAGAATAATTAAGTTATGGTATTAATTAAAATATAAAAGAAAAACAAAACAAGTTGGTATGTGATATTGCTGAATTATAAAAAAGCTTCAAATAACAAATACATAGAAGATCAATGAGAACAGATTTTAGTTGTTTTACTCTTTCAAACATAGAAACGATAATGCCAATAAACGTTTTGACATGTTGACATAATACGACAAAAGCCTATTAGTTAATTAGTACAAGAAATTAAAAAGTACAAAAAATTAGTAAAAATATGATTATCGAAGTCTTTTGATATGCTTTCTTAAAAACAAAATATTGAAAAGTTTTGTTAAAGTAATTGTTAAGCTTCCAAAAGAAAACTTTGAGTTTTTTTTTTTCGTATAAAAAAACTTTCGATTTAATCTTTCAGTAGAAACTTCTGACAAGATCTCAAGATTAACAACCTCTTTTTCCTAGTTTTAATAAACTTTCAATAAGCTTTTAATAGAAAAGTTCATAATACTAATCTAACATGCTTTGACAAGTATTCTAAAGAAACTTTCTGGCAGCACCTTTATAAAAACCATTCAGTAATATTACAGGGAAAAAATTAAAACTTTCAGAACAAAAGCTTTTGTATAAAAACTTTTCGCTCATATAAGCTTTCAATAAACTTTCAATAAGGTAACTTGATTCCTTACACTCTTTCTAAACTTTACACAGCAGGCATTAATATTTGAAGCAAATTTTTTGAAAAAAATTTCATTAGAATTCTTTCAAACTTTCTCTTGGATACATCTTAAGATCAGAATTTTATACAAAAGCTTTTTAAAAAAAAACCTTAAAAACGTTTCCCCTTAAAAACTTTTAAGAAGTTTCAATCAAAAAACTTTTAAAAAGTTTTCAAATGGAAACAATTTTACATGTTAATAAAAAAGCTTTCTAAAGAAATTTTCTAACAAGCTTTATATAAAATATATTTTTGTAGCTTCACAAATAAGTCATTCAGACTTGTGGCAAGTTGTTTTAAGAAACTGTTAATCATTCTGAAGAATCCCTTGAAACATATTGTATAAAAGCTTTCAAAAACTTTTTTAAAAAACTTTCAACCAGCTTTCTAAAGATATTCGTTTGAGTTTTTATACCCTACACCACTTTAGTGGGGAGGGTATATTGGGTTTGTGCTGATGTTTGTAACGCACAATAATATTTTCTTGTGCTGATGTTTGTAACGCACAATAATATTTTTCATTTTCTGAGTCGATTTAGCTATGTCCGTCCGTCTGTCCGTCCGTCCATGTAAACATTGTAATCAAACTACAGGTCGCAATTTTGAAGATAATTCAATGAAATTTGGTACATGATCTTCTATTTTACCAGGGACGAAGCCTATTGAAAATGGTTAAGATCGGTCCATTATTTCACCTACCCCCCATACAACTGAACCCCCCAATAGGGCTTGTAATCCTTGTAATCAAACTACAGGTCGCAATTTTGGAGATAATTCAATGAAATTTGGCACATGATCTTTTATGGTACCGTAGACGAAGCCTATTGAAAATGGTTACCATCGGTCCATTATTTCACCTAGCCCCCATACAACTGAACCCCCGAATAGGGCTTTTAAAACTTGTAATCAAACTACAGGTCGCAATTTTGGAGACAATTCAATGAAATTTGGCACATGATCTTTTATGGTACCGTAAACAAAGCCTGTTGAAAATGGTTTACATCGGTCCATTATTTCACCTAGCCCCCATACAACTGAATCCGCCGAATAGGGCTTTTAAGTTCACAATTATGTTTAATATACTCATATCTCGACAAAAAGCTGCAATAACCAAGTTGTATACAAGACTTGATGACCCCCACGAATTCCATAATAATAGGTTCTCATATGACCCTAGCCCCTATGAAAAGCCCCCATCAAAATTTCACTTAAATGTCCAAAATTTTATTCAACAATAAACGGCTTATGTATGTATATCTAAGGCAAGGTACAATTCAACTTAAATGCTTTATTATGGCAACTAAATCACATTATATTTTTGTCAAAGGTGTAGGGTATTATATGGTCGGCCTCGCCCGACTATAATTTCTTACTTGTTTAAATAAAGCTTTTGTAAAACATGTAATGAACTTCCTTTCCACATGCTTTCAAAACACTTTTAAAATATTGTATATAGAAAGCTTTTATAAAGCTTTACATAAGTTATAAACGTTAATAAACCTTCCTTTAAATATTTTTAATAAGTTTTAACTAAAAGCTTTGTACATATGATACTATTTTTTATATAAGATTCAACTATTGCAATTTTTCTGTTACCATTCATTAGAAGCTTTTCATTTATATTTCCTTTCGATAGAAAACGTTAATGTTCACTAAAAACTTTTTAAAAATTTCTATAGAAAAACCTTTTATAAAGATATGAAGCTTTATAAAAGGTCTTTTTATCAAAACTTTTCAATAAGTTTTCACCAGGATACATTTTAGAAAGCTTTCTAAGAATCCTTTCGACAAGCTTAATAAAGAATTCTTTAGACAGGGTTTCACTATAAAACGTCTTAAAAACTTTATATATCCTTTAAAAAGCTTTCTTTAGAAAGCTTTATATATAGGTTTATCTATCACAACTTTTAAATAAGTTTTCACCAGAAAACTTCTCGAACATTTTCGAAAGCTTTCTATAGAAAACATTAAAAAGTTTTTATGTAAATTTCTATAACAAAATTTGGAACAGCTTTATTAAAAAGTCTTTTATAAATAGAATATCAGTATACCGACTTTTCTATTAGATTTCACTAAAAGCTTTTCATTTCAAATCTCAAAAAACTATGTTTCAGCTGAAAATTTCCAAAAAGCTTTCATTAGAAATCCTTCTTAAAAGTTGTATATAAAAGCTTTCTATAGAAAGCATTAAATAAAGCTTTCAACAGAAAGCTTTTATAAGTCTTTTGTATTAAAGAAGTCTTTTCAATAAGTTTTCACCACAAAATTATTAAACATTTTCTAAAACTTTCTATGGACAACCTTAAAAACTTTATATAGAACTATTGTACAACAACTTTTTTTTGTAAACTTCCTATAGAAACTTTTCAATAAGATTTTAAATTAAAACTTTTACAACATTTATTTAGAAAGCATTAAATAATAAATTTTCATGAGAAAGCTTTTATAAAGCTTTATATTTAAAGAAGTTTTTTCAATAAGTTTTCACCAGAAAATTATTAAAAGATTTTCTAAAGCTTTTTATTAACAATTTTAAGAAGCTTTATATAGAATTCTAGTATAACAACTTTTTTTATAAACTTGCTATAGAAACTTTTTATTTAAATTTCTAAAAGCTTTAGAAACATATTTTCGACAAGGTTTGACTGGATAACTTTTAGAAAGCTTTTTTATACAGATTCTTTAAAAGGCTTTGTTAAAGCTTTTCATAGAAAGCTTTTTATATTACAAGCCTTCAATGGAAAGTATTACAAAACTTTATACTGTTGCCTATAAATACTATTAATAAACTTTTTAAAAGCTTTATATAGAAAGAAACTTTATATTGATACCTATAAAAACTATTTGAAAAAAACATTTAAAAAGCTTTATATAGAACATATTTAAAAAGCTTTTTATAGAACTCATTCAATATAAACCAATAAGTTTTTAATAGTGAAACTTTTAGAATTATTTTATAGAAAGTAGAAATTTGTAACCGATTATGGCCAATAGGCTAGGTTTATTTTGAAAATAAATTAAATTAAATTAAAAAAAAGAAAGCTTTCAGTAATATTATTACAACCTTATTCAAAACACTCTATCAAAGGTTTATAGAACAAATTTTGTATGAAAATTTGTCTTATAAACCTTTGATAATTTTTTATTATGAATAAGACCCTTAAAGTATTAAAACAACTTTATATAGAAACCTATAAAAATGATGCAGACAGCTTTCATAAAGAAAAGCTTTGTATGAATTTTTAAAATCCAATTATTTTTTGAAATGTTTTAAAAGCCGAAATCACATAACAGGCCCTAAATTTACACAAGTTAATCTAATATTTTTTATTGTTTAACACCAACGCGTACACTTTTCCGGAAAACACTGCAATTATAATAAGACGTCTTGACTGTACGGACATTTTGTTACGACTACAAATTTTTATACATTTTATGCAAACGATTATTACATTCCTCAAGGACATTACAAAATAAAAGTAGATCTATCATATTTATTGCAAAATTGTTATATTAAAATAAATACTTGTTAAGAAAAGTAAGATACAACTTTTTCTCGGAGAAATAAACAAATGCAAAACTGAATAATTTATGAACCAAGTTAATCAAACAACAAAGATTTTGTGTCGTCAAACTGCTGCAGTAGGGAGTATTAAAGAGAATAAAGTAACAAAATATTAATTATCTTGTTGTTATTTATTTACACTTATAAACAATTTGTTAAATTAAATAAACAAAGAAAATATTTACATAATACACCAAATATGGGTATTAGTTTACACATACATACTCGTATAATCTAAAATATTTAGATTATTTGATGACAAAATATAGTTGTATATAAAATTATCAAGTTGGAGTTTAATTTAGGAAGTTAGGCTACTAGGATACTTTTTATTTTAAAATTTCAAGATGGGCGGGGAGCCACGCCCATATTAAGAAAATATTAAATCCCTATATTTGAGATAATATAACAGAGTCCTCAATTTTTGTCGGAGCCACTTTAGTGTCTGTATGATTATTTAGGACAAAAAGTAGGCGTACTAGCAGCAGGGGGTGTGGCACATGCCATATACAAAAATTCGTTTATCTGCGAAACTAATAGGACTAAATTCTTCAAATTTTGCATAAAGAACTTTAATATTCATCTGAACATTTTGGAGAAAAAAATGGCGGATTTTCATCTGGGGGGGCTTGGAGCCCCCATATGAATTAAAAAGAAAAATTCGTATATCTGAGAAACTATTAGAGCTAGAATCTTCAAATTTTACATGAAGAACTTTAACATTCATGTGAACATTTAGAGAATAACGGGCGGACTTTCGAGGGGAGCTTTGCACCTCCCATATGAACTAAATACAATATTTCGTTTAACTGGGAAACTAATAGAACTAGATTTTTTAAATTTTGTACGAAGAACTTTATTATTCATCTGAACATATTGGAGAAAAAAGGGCGGACTTTCATCTGGGGGAGGGGGGCTTGGAGCCCCTATATTAATTAAATAGAAAAATTAGTTTATCTGAGAAACTATTAGAGCTAAAATTTTATAAATTTTACATGAAAAATTATGACAATCGTTTGAACATTTAGAGAATAACGGGCGGACTTTCAATGCACCTCCCATATTTATATCTGGAAAACTATTATAGTTAGAATCTGCTCAATCGTTAAGTGTGTTTTCATTTACACATCTTTTAGGGTAGCAAAGCACACTGGGTATAGCTAGTCTATATATATAAAAGAGTAGCGTTACAGACTGACTGATTCAACATCGCACAGCCAAAACGGCTGAACTTAGAATCATGAAATTTTGACAGTAGATGTGTTTTTTGTTATGTAGAGGGATTTTTGGAAATTTGTACAAAAGGGAAAAAAACGGGTAAAACAGGTTTTCTTAATTATCTTACCTAATATTATGCACACAAGAAAATTTTTAAATGCACCTGTATCTACTCTTAAAATAAGCAGATGGGTGTCTGGTACTTTTTTGAAATTCGTACTTTTAAGGGGTGCAAATGTGTAACAAAGGTGATTTTGGTACCTTTTTTTGGCCCTTTATAACTTTTTAACTAATAAACAATATACAATTTTTATAAATATTTTGAATATATCTCCAAAAAATTAGGAGACACCTGTTTCGTACTTTTTTAAAATTCAGTCCTTTTTGGTACTTTTTTTTAGCTTATTAAGAAAACTTTTTCGATTTATTGAAGTATTCCTATTAAATTATGGACTAACTCTGTAATATTTGTTGAAAGAAATTTTTTGCTATTTCACTGGGGAAAAAAGTACCAAAAAGGGGGGAAAACGGGAAATTTAATTTTATTCAAACTCATTGAGCCAATTTTTATAAAATTTAAAAAAGTAGTTTATACAAAATAAGCTATTGGTATATTATTTTGGAATGCGAGTACTAAGGCCTATAAAGGACCAAATTCGAGTAAATCGTTTGGTACTTTTTGAAAGCACATTTTTTCTAGAACAAATAAATGCAAATTTGAATCGTTTGAGTTTTATATGTGATACAGAGATTTATATACGGAACATTTTGTAAACTTAATTCTCAAAAAAGTACCTATATTTCTAAGCGAAAAGGGGAAAAATTGTATTCTTTTTTAGTACTTTCCACTCAGGTAAATTTTATTCCACTTTTGGTACTTTTTCTTTCTTCAAATGATAATCTTTGTGTGTTCTTTAATATGAATTCAAGACATATGATTATTAAACATACACGGTCCTCCTCTGAATAAGATTCTTTAAGAGAGAACTTTATAGTACTTTTTATCTCATAAATGGTACTTTTTGAATTTTCTAAAATATTCAACCTAAGAACATTAATTTTAACATACATGGTCTTGACTGAGTAATATTCTGTAAGTGGGAACTCTTTTTGGTACTTTTCCATTCTTCAAATGGAACCGGAACACATGACACACGGTCCTTATTAAATGAGAATTTATTGAGAGAAATTTTTGTATTTTTTCGTTTTCCGATGGTACTTTTTGATATTTTTACGATATTGAATATAAAAATATATATCTACTGAAAGAGACTTTTGGTACTTTTTCATTCATCAAATTATATTTTTTGAATTGTCTATAATATTGAGCACAGAAACATAAAATTTTTGATTAAATGATAATCTATTAGAGGTATTTTATAGTACTTTTTTTCAAAAAGTACTTTCGAAATTTTCTATAATGTGGAAGCTAAACGAATGAAACTACAAATACAAGCTTCTTATTGAATGCGAATTTATTCACGTGATATTGAACGTAAAAAACTGAAACATTAAAAAAAGTAAACAACGTTTTATATTGTATTTAATTTTGTTTAGGGTAGCGAAGCACCCAGGGTATGGTAGTTTTAATATAAAATCAATGCCATATGGATTCAACAACTTAAATTATACAAAATCATTTGGACGAAAATTTGGATATAAAACTGCTAAATATTTTACGGTTCATGAGACTTTCACTATTTATAAATATTTTAAAAAATCTCTCAAGATATTTGCTCTCAATCTGCCAGATCTTAGCTCTTCTCTCTTTTAAGGCCCTCACATAACCCACAACACTTAATTAATATATTATTTACTTTTTTTTTTGAAATAAAAACCAGAAAACAATCGACATTTTTAAAAGAAAAATTGATAACCTTTTTTTCAACTGTATGAGAGCCATATGTATTGTTGTTTATTTTAATTAAATCATGCGAAAAATACAATTTTTTAATTTTAATTTCCTTTTGCTAAAATTTTATAAAAAAAAACTCTCTCAATATTCTCTCAGAGAGTTTCAATTTTACACTGAAACAATAAAATAATTGTTGATCTTTGATCACGTTTAATACACGTTCACTTTAGTAAATTCACGTGATAATCAAGTGAACAAACAATAATTATTATTGTTGTTGTATATCAGTGTTTTATTGGGAGGGAGTATTTAGTGTTTTTTATTAAAATTCACTCTTTATACAATGTTTAATTAAAGTAATATTCTCTTTTTTTTGGAATTGCCTATTTATGCACATTTGTATAAATCTATACATACTTATATGTATGTATGTTTGTATGTGTGTAGATTCTGAAATATTTAATGAGTTGATAATATATTCCAATAAATATTTATATTCCGTCTGAGTTTATCATCAATATGTTTATAACAGTTGTATATTTTTATTTTTTTTTTTTTTTGATAAACAGAGGGCCCGATTTTAACTCACTCTATATTAGGTGATTAGTGTTCAAAATATTTAGGTTGAATTTTTATCACTTACGTATTCCAAGTTCGGTTTCTAAGTTGTCTCTTTTTGTTTGTGTAGAAGGGTGGAGGGGCCCCTGAATACGGTCTTAAGCTGGACTCAACCGAGACGGCTGTATATTAATCCGCCGAAAACTGATATTTGTTCATTCGGAAGAATCTTGGAAATCCCTTAATACATTGACTGCTATTTACTGGGAAAGAAAATAACGGTAACCGATAGAGTTAAGTTAATACTCAAGTGGTATCCTAAAACGAAAATGAAAATGTAGACAAGAAAAGAGAAAGGGTAAATATTTCACATCTATGCTAGAGAATGATATTCTTTCTAGTATCAATGCCTCCAAATTCTTAAAATATTCAGTTTCTGTTAGGCTATCGGTCGCGTCCGACGTTTGTGTATTGACTTCAAATGTATTCAGCATACATCGCCAGAGTGTCCTGTAATCGCTTTTGGCCACTTTGCCTAAAAATAAGTCCCGTTCGTCTACAAGAGCCGCCTTATAATATCCAGTAACATTTCCAGAACCTTGTTTGACGTAGCGCTTATGGCCTACTTATACCCAGACACTTATAGGCTGAATTCCCTGTTGTGGTTTATGTCAAACTTTTAGTGCAAAGAAGTCTTTCAGATTATTGCGGCATAAGTTTGAGTTGTTCTAATATGCTTTTATAGTGGGACAAAGGTCCCATTTTTGACTATGGTTTTCCTATATAACGCTGAGCATAGATGTGAAATATTTACCCTTTCTCTTTTCTTGTCTACATTTTCATTTTCGTAAATACTAAACGGATTGTTCGCAATCGATCGCCTACCAGGGACAGAATTTGTAGTAAACTTTGAGGAACTGGTACCAGAAAGATTATCATGATCTATTGGAAATTAAGAGCAAATACTACACGCATGACTCTAAACAAAATGGACCTGGACATCCACATTGAAAACATATATATCGAACTTTTAACTAATTTCTTTCTAATAACAACACTACCTTCTATGCGGAAGTCCGTTGCACCATAGAATGTTTGAAATATATTGGACTGAATATAGCGCTAATAGAGATTAATATATTTACCGAAAACCGGAAAGCAATATTATATGTTAAGTTTAAATCTAAGATCGTAGTGGACAGTAAG